TTATGTAGTCATAGCATTTGTGCACACATCCCGTTTCTAATCTCGAGCATCTTCTCAAAAGTAAAATGTCTGGCATTTGCAAGCAGTAGAATATACTCTTTTGGACGTGCATAAAGCATTCGAGAGGGCAGCCTCACGAAAACCACTGCTACACTGCTACCCACGCCAGGTGGCCTTTCTTCTGGGTCTTCAAGCTTCAAGTACCGCTTGTCCCAGGATTTTGCCAGGCAGAATTCGTTTAATTCACTTCAGCTCTCGGTAGAATGTCAATGCAGCTAAGGGATAGCCTCATGAATAACGACCTCAAATTCTACCGACACGGCTGAGACAGCTCCTTTAGCGCCCAGCTTTCGTTTTTCCCGCCATGTACTGAGCCCCGTCAACAGCGGCTGTCTCAGCATCGGTGCCAGGAGCTTCTTGAGAGCCCGGTGATTTCTCCTTCCTCCACCGTACGCCCCCTTTATACCCAAACCACGTTTTACGTTCGCAGTGTGGTCCCCGTAGGAGAAGGACGAATAGCTCCCAGCCCATCCACATCATGTTGAGCAGGGCTGCAGCTCGACTTCCATGGACGACAAAGACATATGAGCCAACAGACGACCCCATGACTTGGCCAATGTATATCTAACGCATGGTATGTAGTCAACGGCAGTCTCCTAAACGAAGGAAGGAGAAGGTACCCACCCCGAGGATTAAGACTGCGTTAAGCCTCGAAGTAGCAGAAGGATCGATCCTGTTCGCGTTGTCAGTTGGAAGAAAGGTAGGCGAAACGAAAGATAGCTCACGAAATAGCGATCGTAACACATGACAGTTGCAGTATCTGCTTGAAGAGATCGAGGCCAAAGGCCGAAACGATGACAGCAGAGACGTGTGTGCTTCCTCCCGCAACCATAACGGTTTGAAAAACGAGACACCCAATGATGGCAAACAAAGCCGTGTACCAGGGCACAAGCTTGTCAACGAGCTTTCCTGCGATGGGCCCAAAGGCCACACCAGCCATACCAATTAGCCCGAAGAGACCAATTACCAGGCTGAAAGATGCAAAGGCTTTTAACATGAAGATTTGGATGAGCATCTCAAACTCACGTCGAGTATTCATACGGCGCTTCACCTAGCAGAAACGTCAAGGTGACCCAGTAACTGCTGAATGTCGCGCTGGACGCCATATTGATCAGGTACGCCTGTATCAAACAAGGCTCCGTTACTGCAAATTTGACCATGCTTCCCAAAATCCTCCAGTATCCCAGCTTCTCATTTGCAGCCTTTGGTGGATAGTCTGGGAGAAGCGCCCATATTCCTACCAACACCCCACCCTGCACCGAAAGTGCAAAGTAGTACACCACTCTCCACGAGGGTGCGAATTCAGCAATGATGCCGGCTAAAACTCGCGCCAGAAGCAAACCAAAGAGAAGCCCAGAAAGGACGACGGAGATGGCGGATCCTCGACGTTCTATGGGTGCGAGATCCGCGGCGAGAGGAATCAAGATCTGGGGAGTGACGCTCACCAGACCCACAAAGAAAGAGAGGATCTGGAAGACGACAAAGTGGTGCGTGAGCGAGAGTCCGAGGGTCAAGGAAGTTGCCAGGATAACGAGCGAAAGGACGAGCTGTCGAGGGCGGACGATATCACCGAGGGGGGAGATGAAGAGCAGGCCTGCTGCAAATCTGGCCAGGCCTCAGTGATGCGCACTTTGGATGGTTGTGAGGGGTACTCACCCGGCTTGAAGAAGGGTAGGGATCCTAAAGGCTCGGGTTAGATAGAGGTCAAGCTATTGTGTTAGAAGTGCGCACCTAGAGACGGTTTCAAGGTCTACTGAGAAAGTCTCTGCCATCGAAATCAAAATCGGCTGACAGTAGACCAGATTTGAGGCCACTGAAAGGGATTTGGGTCATGCACTGCGTCATCCAATTTGCCAACCTCGCTCACTGAACATGCTAGCAAAGCCGAACAAGACGTTGAGTCCAAGCCCAAAGCGATTGGGATCCTCAGGACGAACCCGGAGTCTCGCCGGGAGTGGGATGAGTCCAAAGTCCCTGGGTGCCGTGTTTCGTCCATCTTTCAAAGACGGCGGTGTAGGTGACTCGACTAGAGTGGCAGTACGAGACTCCATTGTGCAGAGAAAGGCAGAGGAGATGAGGAGGGGCAGAGATTCCTGGCCAGTAGATATACGCCCTGGTAGTGCCCCAGAAACCCCTGGAGGCCCTAAAAGCCAAGAAGCCGATACATCCCAAGCCAACGATTGGTCGTACAAAAGGTGATTTACCTTCCCCGCCTACGATGGTGTGAGCTGAATGAGAATCGCAGAGCACCATCGGATCGTAGGGAACTCGGCGCCGATGCTAGTGTGTGGCACGTTTCTCCCAGTTTGACTTCAGCAAATAGGTGAACGTGCGGTGGGAATAGACAGTACGATACCCGCTGCGGTTTAGTATCAAACTTACTGAGCGGCTCAGAGCCATAGTGTTAGGTGGTATCGATAGGCATCCAGAGATACGATATCCACCGTTGCGTCGACCGCATCGAGCATCGAACGTGGTTTTAGGTGCGCCACCTGCCAAGGCTTCTGTATTTGCGTCGGATTGCTGGTACTGCCTTCGTTCCCTGATAGAGCTGTATCCAGGAGTATCATCTGCGCCAATGATGTTCCTTTTCGTCGGTCGGCAGGGCAAGCGACGGAACTCGCAAGGCGTCCGAAACGGACATGCCGGAGCTCCAACATTTCTTGGCCCAAATTCGAGGCGGAGCTTCAATCTGCTTGGCTCCTTCCGTCATGCACCCACGGAACCCCTATCGAAATGGGGTAGACTTTGCTGTTCTTGCGCGCCAATTTGAGCCTTTGAGCACCCAGTACGTGAGCTTTTAGCTCTTGAGAGAATATATCATGGCCTGACTGCCAAAAGCCTCAAACATAGCCCCGACGGTCGTCAAATCATTGACTTTAACGATGAGGCTGCCCAAAGGTGCGTTCAGTAATAAATCTGAAAGGTAAAATATTGACGGAAAGATGTGATTAGGATAGGGAATTGACCAAAGCAATCCTTAAATGTGATTATAAACTCGACCTTGAACTGCCGGCAGACAGACTATGCCCACCTGTAGGACAACATCTCGTTCCCTAGTCGAATGAGAGGTTTATTTGCCACAGGTTCCCAACAGGCTCAACTATGTGCTGTGGATACAAGACTTGGTCCGGGAAATATCCACCTCACGGCTGTGGGCAGGAGATGGTGATAAAGCAGGCGTTCGAGGCTTGGATGTGTACGGTTCATTCATGAGGCCAGCGAGCGTGTGGCTAACAGCTGTACCAGGGGAACCGGAGCCTCTGCCATCTACCCTCTCCTTGCCTGCAGTCTAGACGAGACTTGGACTATGATTGCAACAGGTGCGATGCTTCCTTCTTGACCCAGCCTAGGTCTAATGCCGCTGGTTCGTTCAGAGTTAGATGAAGCCTCTTACACCTGTGCAAAGGCCAATGTGGATAGGAATAGTGTGGGCTCCAGGATCGATGTCTACAGGGTAGATGGGGCTCGGATATTCGAGCCTCTATATCACCTGCAACCCTCGGAACAAATCGACTTTTCGATGTGCAACCCGCCCTTCTACAGCAGCAAGGACGAGGTTGATACCTTGCGAACCAGCAAGGAAGAACTACCGGCTCAGGTATGCACAGGAGGTGAACTGGAGATGATTTACCCTCCACCTCCTTCGTCTGAAGAGGATTGGGAGAAGGAGGGCGGAGAAGTTGCGTTCGTTGGCCGAATGGTGATGGAAAGCTTGCAGTTGCGAGCAAAGTGCAGGTTTGTTCTGCTGACAGCTGTAAGGCTTGTTTTCTGATTCATCCCCCCAGATGGTACACCTCTATGCTAGGCAGACTCTCATCAGTACCAAAGGTCGAAGAGCTCCTTCGCCGTCATGATATCACGAACTATATCATCACCAAGTTTGTTCAAGGTCGAACACGACGATGGGCGATCGGATGGTCTTTTGAACCCTGGAGGGTTTCAGATGTGCGTACTTTATGAATCAGTGTCGTATCTATCGTTAACATCCACGGGTTCAGGCCGTTGGACGCCTGTCTTACCTTCCGGCATCCCATGCCCCGTACAAATCTCAGCCGCCACGGTCTACGTTGCATCACTCCCTGCCACCTTTGATGCCAACCAAGGCCCTAGAGGCTGCCTTGGAAGCTTTGGCTGATGGTACACGGTTCCTCTACACTCCTTTTTCATCCACGGCGGAAAGCAAGGATGATGGTAGTGGATTTCAGGTCAAAGCTTCGACAGCTGTTTGGTCTCGAGCAGAGCGTAGAAAGAGGAAGCGCAAAAGTGATGACCATGACGACGGCGAGCCTCCTTTGAAGAAGGCCAAGGTTGAGTCTACCTCGTCAGCTGTGTCGCCCAAGGTTGCAAAGCGAGGCAACGACTCTGAGCAAGACTTCTCGGAATGGACCATGATCTGCACTGTCCGCCTCGTGCGAGGGGCTTCAACGCCACCAAACCAGGAGATGATGGATCTGGAATTGCAGTGGGTTTACGGCCGGGATAGGATGCTGTTTGAGAGCTTTTCTAGTCACATTAGTCAACGCCTGTACATGGATGGGTCGCGTACCTAAATACATCAACGCACATATGTATTCATGCGACTTGCCTTTGGAGACCACATTCCTGAAAACATGAGAATGCTCGTAGATTGAATGTGCTGCTTATTTGCGGTGAGGAACACAATGGAAAATGAGCGCGAACGGAGCGCAGCATGATGGAAGGTGAAATCAGGAAATTCTTCTGCACAGATACTGCCTCACGGCTCTCATAAGAAAACAAAAGGTAAGTAAAGATGAGCCCTACGGCTTTATTACATTCAGGAGGAGAAAAGAATAACGACACATGGCGCAAAATGAGTCAACATTGCACGGATCAGGGGTGTCCTCCTCCGCTCCTCCGCATGGATACCGTTGCACAATGAGCGTTCTGAAGGGTATAAAAAGGGAAAGAGAACAAAATGGACACTGTGGGGATTGAACCCACGGCCTCCACGCAATAGCTTCATAGTTCAAGTACAATGAATGTGCAAAGCGTGCGCGCTACCACTGTGCTAAGCGCCCATATACAGCTTCCAAACAACGCGCTACTAGTTAAGAAACTTGTTGGCTGACCATACCGAGGCTAGACGATAGATGGTTTCAGGTATCTTCTTTCTTTAATTGCGATTCTTGGCCCTCCATTGGCCCTTCCAGACGACGGAGGCTACAGAGGGGTGCTGGTGTCAAACTCCGAGTCGCATTTCCGGAAGCCGAGGCATTATCAGTAGTGTATGGACGGACACGAGGCGCTCTCTTTAAAAGCACACTACTTGAACCTTGAATTTTCACAATCTCTTCTCTCAACAGCAATGTCCACTCGCGGCAATCGCGGTGGTGCTCGAGGAGCCTCTCTCGTTGGACGTGGTCGCGGAGGTGGAACTCGCGGAAAGGCAGCCACGATCACTCTCGATGGTAGTCCCAAAGCCACACATGTTACCACCGTTGGCGTCAAACGCCCGTTGAAAGCTGCAGAAAAAGGGACGAAGATCAACATCCTCGTCAACTGCTATCCAGGAGAGGTTCCGAGCCAGATTATCATCCACTACGACGGTAAGTCAGAGCTGCACCTGTGACAGGTCACTGACTGGGTCACATACTGATAAACACTCAGTGGGTATGTTAGCGTGTTTAATACTCCTTTTGAATCCATATTCACCATTCATCTCTCAGTGATTGATCGCGATGAAAAGAAGCTTCCAGCGAGGGTAAACCTCGCGATAATAACACAGTTGCAAACGAAGGTTGCTCCTGGGATCTTCACGCCGCGAGGTGTCTATGATGGGCGAAAGAACTTTTATTCGTCCAGGCTGCTCGACTTTGGTGGGCAAGACAGTATGGAGGTGGGCTCTGATCCTGACCCTGATTTGTGCTCGAGCGAATGAACCTCTAGTTTCACGTTCCATTTGTTGAGTCGGGCGACGGTACTAGTAGAGTGCCACAGGCCACTTCCAGTAGACCCCCAAAGCTCTTCAAGGTGACCTTGACAAAGGTTGCCGAAGTGAATACAGAGTGCGTTGTCGTTATCAATCCTCCAGACCTCGATTAATGTACGTTCACGTAGAGTACTCAGGCGCTGCGTCGAGGGTAAACAGTCGCTCGATTCTTATGTCCAGACTGCCATCACGGTACGCCACCCGTCCCTCATTTGCTCATTACTTGACAAGCCGCGGTCATAGGCCCTAAACGTGGCTGTTAGAATGAAGCCAAACCTTAGCTTTCCGTTCAACATCCGCTCTTTCTTCACTGATTCAGAGACGCAGAGCATCGGAGGACTCGTCCTGTGGCGCGGATACTTTCAGTCTATCCGCCCTGCTCACAACCGGCTACTCGCAAATGTGGACATCTCCACGGGTATTTTCCACAGGGGCGGATCACTTATCGACACCTGTCTCGAGATTCTCAGTGATCATCCAGGCGTGCGAGGTCAAGCACGTATACAGACTCTGAAGCCCTCTCGCGATAACGGTCAAACAGGTCTCTCCGACTGGCTCAGGAAATTCATCCAGTACAGGATTCTAGGGTTACGCGTCGTCGTGAATCTTCTTGGTGGATCAGCACGACATTGTGTGTTGAAGGGCTTGACTCGGGGTGCAGCAACAGACCTTCGCTTTGACATGGATGGGCGTAGCATCACCGTCGCTGAGTATTACCGTGAAACAAGGAATCTTGTCTTAAAGCATCCAGATATTATTTGTGCCGAGGTGAATGTCACCCCCTTTTGCCAGTGTTCCCATTGCCATTTTGCTAATGCATCAGTAGGTTGGTCAGGGAAGTATCGTCCCCTTGGAGTTGTGCACCGTACCCAAAGGGCAGCCCATGCGAAAGCAAATTCCGGCACACAAAGTGACAAATGTTCTTGATTTCTCCAAAAAGCCCCCTTCCGAACGCTTACAGAAGATCCACGGTGCAAGCGAGGTGGGCGGCTGAGACACAGCTCCACTCCTTGTCTCCAACAAGCGAGCTTCTCTTTCTTCTAGGTGCTCGCCCACCAAACCTCTGAGTACATTCGTGCGTTCGGGCTCCAGATATCTCCGAACACTATGCAGGTCGAGTCGAGGGTGCTTGGCGCACCGACCCTCAAGTATGGTATTAACAAAAAGCATGCAACTGCTTCAGAGGCTGTATGTGATGCTCTTGGTTTTCAGTCCGCGTCCACCCCCTCACATTTATCGATTAGACCCCCTCGAAAGGCGAGTGGAATATGATCGACCGTAAATTCTTCAAGCCGATGCAAATCAAGGTTTGGGTGCTCATCGTCTTTGATCAACAACGCATCAATAAAGCAGAGGTGGAAGAGATGATGAACCACTTCGTCGCTGCCTGCAAGGAGACAGGCATGGAAATCCAGCCTACCCGCCTCATCGCTTACCTCTCGAGCAACGGGACCAACGTACATGACGAACTGCTCAGGTTACGCGAAAAATGTTTTACCACGACGAAGGCTTTTCCTCAGTTGCTTACAATCCTTCTTCCCGAAGGTCCTGTGGCCAACGAGCTGTACAGTCGACAGTCGCATCAAGTTGTGAGTCCTTTGGCTCTACAAAAGGAACCTGTGACTCATCATGTCTTGTGCTTAGCTTTGGTGACGTTTCGGTATGCTGTTGATATAACCCTCGAGAAAGCCAATCTTGACCTTCCTTTGTACAGGTGGGCGTTCCAACTCAATGCCTCAAAGCAAACAAGTGCATGCGTGGCAGCGCCCAATACTTTGCCAATGTCGCCCTCAAGTACGTTTCATCGGTCTCCGTCTCTTCTGGCACTGAAACCAATGCACGTACATTGTAGGCTAAATGTCAAGTTGGGTGGAATCAACGTGAACCTCAACAAAGATCCATCTGGTATTCTGACAGAACATACGCAGAGGGTAATGGTGACTGGTCCGTCTGATCAGTTTGTCGATCTCCACTCAGGACACTGATTGGTAATGATAGGTGCGGATGTCGTCCACCCGTCCCCTGGGTCGGAAGGGCGTCCGTCCTTCACTGCCGTTGTTGTCAATGTCGATCAAAACATCACTCGATGGGTCTCTGGTCAGTCGAATCGCCCCGGCCTCGCATTATAATCCGGGGGGATATTCATCTGATGCGTGTGTATAGAAATCAGTGTCCAGGAGGCCAGACAAGAGATCATCGCCGACCTCCAGGAGATGGTAAAGGTGCGCTTCTTTCTCAATTCTCCCGTCGTGATTCGTTCTGAATTGCCCCTAGAATGTGTTGACCAAGTTTATCGCCTTCCATGCGAATACCAACCCTCGAGAAAAGGCCCCGACTCGGATTATATTCTATCGAGGTCTGTTCAAGTTGGTCTCCAAGTCTGGTCATGTTGAACTGAAGTCGAACCCTTGCTCGGCAGATGGCGTCTCCGAGGGTCAGTTTCAGCATGTTCAAGATCTCGGTACGTACTTGAGAACCAACTACGACGATTTGGCCGACCTTGCCGGATTTGGCAGAGGTTGCCAAAATTCGAGGTACGTTCGGAGCGCCTCTCTTCTAGCCATCTATTGCTCATGAATGTAGATGCCTGCCGAGATTTAGGTATCAGCGCAAAGCTCACCTTTGTTGTAGTGGGAAAGAGGCATCACATTAGGTCAGTTCCTTCTGGGCCTTCTCCTTCATCTGCTAATGTCTAGCCCATGATAAATTACCTCTTGTAACTTAGGTTCTTCCCTCGCAATGGGGCCAACAGAAACGAATGCGATAAAACAGGAAACTGTCCTGCTGGTACTGTCGTTGATACCGCGATAACTCATCCTCTCGAATATGACTTTTATCTGCAATCGCATACTGGTATGGCTCGCACAACTAGCCGACCTTCTCATTACTCAGTGCGCCAGATGCATCGCGACCTCTGCTTCTCCGAGACTGATCAGTCCTCTTATAGGTTCTTTGCGATGTACGCCTCCTCGTGGTCTCCTTTTCAATGTCGTCAGCTGACATTTTTGGGGATGTCCAAGACAATAACTTCACGTAGGATCTCTCTCCTCTATTCGCCCATCGCTTGTCTTGACCCTGATGATTACCTAGGCCTGACGCTCTTCAATCTTTGACGTTTACCCTATGCCACCTTTACGCCCGCTCCACTCGTTCTGTTTCCATCCCGGCCCCTGTTTACTGTGAGTCAGAAGCGCGTTTATATCTCAGGTGCATACAGCATTGTCTGACCTATTATTCTCCCTCTAACGCGCATCTGAATCCGTTGGGTTGTACAAGACGCCGACATTGTATGCTCTCGCAGCAAGAACGACTTTGCTCCTGCCGACGCTGTCATTACTGGTAATGGCTATGCAGAGAGTAGCGATAGTGCAAGATCTAGTGAACCTCAAACCCTCCACGAGTTCAAAGATAAGTTGAAGAAGGTCCATGCCAACTTGGCGAATTCGATGTATTTCATGGTGCGTTTTCTTGCTGTTCTTTGTTGGCCTAAGTATTTGAATGATGTACCTGATTTCTAGTGAAGGCTGGTGAGCCCGTTGGTCGTATATATTTTTCTATGCAACCCTTGTAGACTGTAATACAATCCTCCCGTTTTGTGCGTGAGCACCGCTGGCGCGATCGAAGTCTGTCAAGGACGCTCGTTGACACTCCAAGACAAAAGGGCCCAATTCTTTATTTGTTAGAATCGTTCCTCGAGAGAGAGGTTGGCCCTCCGATTTGCTTCGAAGAGGGCCTTGAGCCTGGAAGATCTTGATCCCCGTCGAAGGCACGCCCCTCTGGGTAACCTCCACCATCGAGCAAAACCCGTTCCCCGGAAGTCAGGATCGAGAGAGGAAATCAGATAGATATTAGCAGAGCTCTGTCATTACCATAGTTGCCTTTAAATACTCCTTCTAACCCGTGAATGAAAAAGGAATATAAAAATCGGAGATGTAGCGCGAAAAGGAGACGGATAGAATGTCGAAGAGATCCAGTGGCGGTTGGCAGACGGGGATGGGTATGATCCAAGGGGAAATAGGTTTTGGGCTTGTTGGTACAGATGTGCTGTCTCGTATTTGATACACAGGGGGGGAGGAAGAGCAAGAGGGA